TTTAAATAAATAACTTCGGGTTTGGAAATGCCAAACGTACACAAAATCTGAGACTGAGATGACTTTCAGACATTTGTCACATCTCATCACACAATGTCTATTATCAACTCATATTTTAGCAGCTTACGTGTGCACGCACACACGCACACACTGGGTATTTGTGCGTTACCTCATGCGTGCACGCTTCCCTACGGCTCTTGGAGAGATCAGAACTCTTTGAAAATACACTTCCCAACACAGAGGCACCGCCTCAAAGTGATCATCAGAATGATCAGTTAGGCCTGGTGTCACCGGCCTGTCATCCCAGCATTTGGGAGCTGGAGAAAAGGAGAGTCAGGAGTCTGAGGTCATCTTTAACTACACAGTGAGTTTTTTAACTGCACACCTGTTTTACCGTAAGAACTAGTTTCCTGTGTGTGATCCCACAGCAAATGACATCATTTAAAAGAAGTAAGAGGGGCTGGGAGGATGCCTCAGTGGGTAAAATGCCTTCTGTGCGAGGATTAAGACATGAGTTTGAATCCCCAACACCCACATAAAAAAAAAAAATGCTTGCTTTGGCTGCACATGCCTGTAATCCCAGCATTGAGAGTCAAGATAGACAGGTCCCAAGAGCATGCTAACTGATCAGTTCAGCCAAAAGGATGAGTTTCCACTTCAGTGAGAGATTCTGTATCAGGCAACAAGAAAGAGGGTGATAGAAGACACCTGAAGTCTTCCTGTGACCTCTGCACCTGCACACACACATGCATGGAACACACACACACACACACACACACACACACACACACACACACACACACACACACGGATGCAGCCCAGTTGTTAGAATGCTTGCCCAGTATCAATAAGGCCCTGAGTTCTATCCCCAATGCCACCTAAACTGGGTGCGGTAGTACACCCAGCATTTCTGTCGTCTCAGCAGGTCCCCTGTGGAGTGACGAGCTGACATGGGAGGGGGTGGCATGGGAAGGCTGAGCAGCCTTTGACATGGAGACTGTGTCCATGACGAGATACAAAGGATAGGGGTGAGCATGTTCTCAGGGGTGTCCTGAGATTCAAGGTCCCAGAACCCCAGTTGGTCAAGGTGAAGAGACCTCACACGGGCATCAGAGAGTAGGGGCATGGCAGTGACCCCAGCTCATAGAGACAGAGAATGTCCTCCTGGAACCACCTAACCCCAAAAGGGACAGCCCCTCCCTGATGTAAAGGATGAAGTCTGTGTCTGGGAGACGTGAGAATCAGCAAGTAAGTGAGGCTGGTTCAACCCTGGGACTGCCAGCGGGTGGAGAACCTCTTGCTCAAGCCGTCTGCCCTCCTGGTCCCCTCAGCCCTGCCCTGTCCCTGGCTCACACCTCTTGAAGCTTCAGGAAAGCTGGGACTCTTTTTTCTTTTAGATGTTTTCATTGTGTAGCCCAGGATACCCTGGAACCTTAGAATCCCCCTGCCTCTGCCCCGTCAGTGCTGCACCAGGTCTTCATTCACTACTTCATCCCCTGTCCTGATCCAAACTCCTTGGTGATCAGCGTAGAGAGAAGGCTTGCTGCTCCTGCAGAGGACCCAAGTTCAATTCCCATCATCCATATCAGGGGTCTCACAACCACTTATAATTCTAGTTCTGGGGATTGGCTGCCATCTTCTGGCCTCTGTGGGCACCTGCATACAAGTGGTGCACATAGATTCACACAGACACACATAATAAAAATAAAGAAATCTTCAAACACCTTGGTGATACAGCCTTGCCACCGCCTGCCTGTGGCCCCCAACGTGCCCTCCATCCTTCCTCCCACAGCTGTGACCATTCTGTGACAAGGGCTCCATTCTCTTTGCCAGGCCTCTGCACCTGCTGCTCCCTTCAGGGCCTTGTAGAAGTCCTGGCCTCTTGTCAGATCTCAGCTCAACATCAGCCTTCTTGGAGCAGCCTCCTGAGAGTTTGGTCCCTGTGGCTCTCCACTTGACTTCACATCCTCCCTCACTATGTTCTCTTCTGAGCACCCCTGGGGAGGGCTCATGGCATCATTTCCCATCTGTGTTCCATCTGAGAGCCAAATGAATGAATGAATGAATAATGGTGAATAAATAGATGCATGATAGATGAATGATCGATGTATGTAAAAATCAATGAATTAATGAATGAGTAACACATCATCTCTTCCGTCCACTATTTACTACCTAATCTCTTCTCTTGATGGCACCTCCATTTCTCTACAGACCCATCTCTACTCAGGCTGAGTGACCCCTACAGTCTGGCCAAGGGCATAGTGTAGGTTCTTCAGGGACAGGAAAAACAGAGACCCCAAGGAGAGGCCAGAGGAGATCTGGTATGTGTGGTACCTAGAAACCTTCCCAAGGAACCAGGCTATAGTGACAGCAGGCTCCATCCACAACAGAAGCATCTATGATCAGGATTCCCCCCCCCAAAATGGATCCCCAGCTGGCTACCTTCCCTCTGCACCTGTCACAGGGGTCAACTCTTCAGGTAAGTGCAGACCATAGAAAGGAGGTGGGTGTAGCTAGAGTTTTCCTGCCTGGCCCACAGTCAGGACAAATCTCTCTCACCTGCCAGTCCCACAGCCACTCAGACCCAACCTAGTAAACACACAGAGACACTTATATTGCTTACAAACTGCATGGCCATGGAAGGCTTCTTGCTAACTGTTCTTATATCTTAAATTAACCCATTTCTATTAATCTGTAAGTTGTGACGTGGATCGTGGCTTCCTGGTGTCTTAACATCTCCTGGCAGCAGCTGGCAGCGTCTCCTCTGTCCCAGCCTTCCTGTTCCCAGCCTTCTCCTCTCTGCTAGACCCGCCTATACTTCCTGCCTGGCTACTGGCCAATCGGTGTTTTATTTATCAATCAATCATCCACAGCAGGTGGGAGAGCCCTGTCAGAGCAATCACTACCATGATCTAGACCTTAGGGCACCAGTTCCAATCCTGCCTAGTGTTCTCTGCACAGTGTGGAACACACCTCTGCTGGACATCTGTGCCTTCTGCATCCCCCCACATGGAGATCCAGTACTGAGATGTGTCTTAGCTTGTTCTGTCTTTTCTCCCCTAACAAAATGGACAGGAAGAGGGCAGTGGCCTGGGCACAGAACAACCTGGAGATATCCAGAGAGGCCCTGGGATTACATCCCCCTCCAGGAAGCCACCTGCTGTAGCTGGAAGTTTCTCTGGTCCCACCCAGCCCCGCAGTCCCGCAGCCACTTATAAAATAGTCACTCAGAGGCTTATGTTAATTACAAACTGTATGGCCAATGGCTTAAGTTTCTTGCTAGCTAGCTCTATTATCTTAAATGAACCCATTTCTATTAACCTATGTATTGCCACGTGGCCATGGTGGTTGGCTGGCATGTAGCTCCTTGGGCGGCAGGCTGGCATCTCCTCTGCCTCTGCCTCTCTTCTTCCTCTACCTCTCTTGGATTTCCTGCCTGACTATAACCTGACTCGCCATAGGCCAGAGCAACTTCTTTATTAACCAATCATAGCAACACATATTCACAGCATACAGGAAGATATCCCAGAGCACTTCCCCTTTTCTGTCTAATCAAAAAGGAAGGTTTTAACTTTAACATAGTAAAATTACATATAATAGAACAGTAGTCAAGCAAGAATTACAGTTACAATATCTGGTCTATTTTTATTTGGTAAAATCAAAGAAAATATTCTATTTTACAAATATCCTATATTTGTAAGTCTAAAGTTTCATATCTAATTTATCTTTTATCATAACCAAGGAAAATTACAATTATAACTATCTAGTTTTCAACTACATCAAAGACCCCAGAAGGATATAATGTTACCTAAGTAAACAGGAAGTGCATTGTATGCAAGTTCCAAATTCTAGATATACCCCCCACAAAAAAAAGCTAAACAAAGGAAATTAGATTCAGGGTTCTTGTTTGAAAAAAAGAGGATATAGATATGATAAGATAAAAGGTAGATTATTGAATCTACTCTGAAAAGAAAAAAGAGAGGATATAGATATGATAAGATTTAAAAAAAGTAGATTATTGAGGACTGGAGAGATGGCTCAGAGGTTAAGAGCACTGCCTGTTCTTCCAGAGGTCCTGAGTTCAATTCCCAGCAACCACATGGTGGCTCACAACCATCTATAATGAGATCTGGTGCCCTCTTCTGGTGTGCAGGCATGCATGCAGATAGAACACTGTATACATAAATAAATAAACCTTTTTTAAAAAGTAGATTATTGAATCTACTTTTTAAAAGGCAACTACTAGTTTTAAATATTTTACATTGGATTGGATTTTTTATATTGTATACAAATTATGTATATTGATACAAATATGAGATTGATTTTGTTAGAAAATACTGTACATATATTCCTAATCTTGTTCAAGGTATTGTACCTATGCAGCTCATTTAACAATGTAATGCAAATTGCTAGTCCTTGAAAGTTATTATTACCAACTAATTAGGTTATAAGAAATGCAAGTTAATAGTCATTACAATCAAACTTGTAGTCATATTAGGTATGTTTTCAAGGTCAAACAGAAATATATTTTAGATAAACAGATCATCTTCAAACACTTCAGAGATCTACAGAATATGGCATTTAAGATGTTTTAATAACATAGGTTATTTTTTAATGACAATGAGACATGTCTGCTCCTGGCAGCACCAGTCTACTTCAGAGAAGATGATGGGCATTGAAGAAACTCCTTATGGAGTTTACTTTCTTTGTGGTAAAAGTTAGCCAGTGGGCAAGAAAGTGCCCTTGCCTCAACTGCTGACAGTATGCTGTCCAAAATGGACAAGCAGGACACAAAAGAAAGGACTGCCGAACCTTGCCAAGACAAGGTAGGAAGGCCCTTCAGAAAATCCTGCTTCAGGTGGGCAGTGGTGGCTCATGCCTTTAATCCCAGCACTCGGGAGGCAGAGCCAGGCAGATCTCTGTGAGTTCAAAGCCAGCCTGGGTTACAGAGTGATTTCCAGGAAAGGCTCCAAAGCTACACAGAGAAACCCTGTCAAAAAAAAAAAAAAAAAAGCAAGAAAATCCTGCTTCATAGATGAGTCTGTCAGATATGCTAGGCCTGTAGGCCAAAGATGGATGCCCCAATGTTGCAGAGAAATCTTGGGTACCTGTCCAGGCAGCCTGCTGTTTCTGTCATTTCTCACATTTTTTAGAAGTTACTTGTTTGCACTTCCTGCTTACTCAGTTAATATTATTTCCTTCTCGGGTCTCTGAGGGAGTTGAAGATTACATAGTTATAGTTTTCCTTGTTACTAACTGAGGAAGTGTAAAATGTATAAGATTGAAAGACATCAAAAGATATTTTTGGTTGGTAATACAAGTTAGGATAAAAAGTGAATTAGGTACAACATTTTGGACTCACCAAGATAGGATAAATAATGGAGTTTTTTGTCTGACTCTGTCAAATGTTAATGGACTATATATTGTTGATATATTTGTTGCCTCTATATATTGTATATAGTTATTGTACTGATTGTATATAGTTTTTCTTATATTAGTTATAACCTTTTTTATTTTAGACAAAAAAGGGGAAATGTGGTGATATATTGTGTACTCCAATAAAGCTTGCCTGGGGATCAGAGAACAAAATCAGCCACTAAATTAGACATAGAGGTCAGGCAGTGGTGGCACACACCTTTAATCCTATCTCTCGGGAGGCAGAGATCATCTGGAGCTCTGTGAGTTCTAGGCCACACTGGGAACAGAGCCAGACATGGTGGCACACACCTTTAATCCCAGCACTTGAGATCTCATGCCTTTGCTTGGGAAGCACACACTCCTTTAATCCCAGGAAGTGATGTCTGGGCATAGAAAGGTATATAAGGTGTGAGGAAACAGGAACTCACTTTCTTGACTGAGGATTTGATAGAGGTAAGAACTTGTGGCTGGCCTGTTCTGCTTCTCTGATCTTTCAGCTTTCACCACAATATCTGGCTCTGGGTTTTTTGTTATAAGACCTTTTAAGAGTCGTGTTACAACCTGCCCACCTAAGAAGCACAGAGCCTGGCATGGGCAAGAGGCCAGGTGTTTTTGCCAATAACTCAGCAACCTCGCTGAGCTGGGAGTTGGGCTCAGAGCTCCTGGGGGATGAGCCACAGCCATGGGCAGGCATGAGCACACAGGATGAGGCAAGGACAGGGTTCCAGAGGTTCACATGTTTGGTTGGCCTAGCCCAGTGCACGGCTAGCAAGCCTGAGATTCAAGGCCCGGTTCTCAGAAGCAGCTGTCCTCAGCTGGCGGGGACCAGAGTCTGCGCTGGTGACAGATGGGCTGCAGAGGGAGAAGGAAGCATGTGTGAGTTAAGGCTTGGAGTTTGGTGAAGGGAAGATGCACCACAGGGGGCAGCCCTTACAGGAGGCAGGCTACTTTGTCCCCAGCCCTCTGAGGAAGGTCTCAAGCCCTCAGCAGGACCAATATCAGAACTCCATGATGGCTTTTCCTAAGAGGACAGGGACAGGGAGGGATGGGGTCACTAGGTCTCCTGCAGCAGGGAAGCAGTTAGAAGATGGGCCAGCAGGCCCTAGCCACATGGAGCCAGCCTTGAGGCTTCGGGTGGGAATCTATGCCAACCACAGAGCTGTGATAAAGATCCCCAGCAGAATGCCTAGACTGAGCAGTGTGACTGGCTAAAAGACCCCAGACATGGGGTAGCACACACAGCAATGAACACACAGACATGTCTCCCCAGGTGGATGGACAGAAGGACATGGGATGCACGCTGGTCACTAGATATTAGGTGCTGGACACTAGATGGATGCTGTGTGGTAGGTGCTAGGTTCTGAGTTCTGTGAATTGGGTGCTGGGTACTGAGTGCTGGGTAGTGAATGTGGGCCACATGCTTATGTCCTGACAAACACTCCAGCCCTTCTCCCCCAGCCTCACCTGACCAGCCTGAGCAGCTGTGACTTTGCCATGGAGTAGACCTCACGGGTTGTACTCTTCAGGAGGCCCTGCATCCAGCACAGGTCAGCTGGCATTTCAGGCAGCCACAGCAGCAGTCTGTGAAAGGGACAGTGTCAGCTTGCCAGGGTGCCCGGGGATAGTCCCAGAGTAGGGGTGGTCCCTACATTCCAGGAAACGGCTGGAGAGAGGGGAAAGGGACAGTGCCTAAACTGGGTGAGAAGATCTCAGGATGGCCCTATGGGTCACATCGATGGCAGGATGTCCAGAAGTGGACTTTGAACTTTGGGGAGGGGTGGACCTTGGTGTCAACCTCCACAGAGTTCCAGTGAGAAGCCTGGGGTAGAAAGGGGAGGGTGTCATGTGATGCTAGCTTGGCAGCTACTCTGCTATGCAGCCTGGAGAGTCAGAAAAAAAAAAAAACCTCTCTGGGCCTCAGCTTTCCTCTCCTGTCAAATGGGGACCATCTGCCTATAGCTTACCCTCCCTATCTCCACCCATCCTTCCTCCTGGCCCGTATCATTCATCCACGTTCCCTTCAGAGGCCAGTGCCTTTGAACATGGTGTATTCTGGGCTGACTCCGGCAGGCTCACACTATAGAAATGGCTAGATTTCTACATTTTCGTTTCAGCTCATGGTTTCAGTAAACAGCTCTGCGTGGGGTGAGTGTGTCAGGAGGAAGGTCTCTCCCACCGGTACTGACCCATCACTAACTCGAGACTCCTGGGGCTCCCCATCATAGACTTTCTAAAGAAAAGCCATTTTAGAAACACCGCCCTAGGGTCTGGTGTTGGAGCACAGCGCTGGAGTCCCACGCCGAGGAAACCTTGGGTTCAGAACCACTCTGGATTGCATAGCAAGATCCAATCTCAAAGAAAAAACCTCCCATCTCCCTATAGCGCCTCTCTGTCTAGACGAAGCTCATTCACCTGACCGCAGACCCCGTCCGTGTGTCTGTCCCCGGCCACTCTCCAGCCCCATCTCATACAGACACCAGCTTTCACTCCAGCCACACCTCCCCTTTGGGTTCCTTGAATGTGCCTGACTCCCTTCTGCCCCAGGACCTTTCCACATGATATCCTGTCCACCCGGAAGGCCTTGCCTTCCTCTTTGCCTGATGGACTGTATGTCGCCCATCCTTAAGACTGTAGCTCAAGCCAGGCGGTGGTGGCGCATGCCTGTAATGCCAGCACTTGGGAGGCAGAGGCAGGTGGATCTCTGTGAGTTCAAGGCCAGCCTGGTCTACAGAGCTAGTCCAGGACAGGCTCCAAAGCTACAGAGAAACCGTGTCTCGAACTCCCCCCCCCTCAAAAAAAAAAAAAAGACTGTAGCTCAGACGCCATCACCTGCCTTCTCTGGACAAACAGTTCTGAGTATGGGCCAGGCTAGCTGGTGTGGCTCCCTCCTAGAAGTTAAAACGCACAGGGGCACGTGTGATGGTTGTAAGCTGTGTGCTCCACCAGGCCAGGAGAAAGGTTGGGGGCAGCCTGCCTCTCCTGCCTCTAAGCTAACACCTGGTCCCTGGTCAGCCCTCAGCAGCTGATGAGTGAACCGATGAAGCAAGGCTGAATGCTCGGCACGAGGACTCAGCTGCAGCCAGACTGACCTCCTTCAGGTCCTCGTTTTTGGAAAATGTGCCATGACCCAGAGAGGTCAAGAAAGCTGGCCTAGACCACACAGCCAATCTGAGACAGACCAGCTGGGAGAGTTGCCAGGGGCAGCACGTAGTCACCCGAGGCTCTGACCATGGGGCAAAGGCAAATAAACAGTGTCAGAAAACAGTCTAGGCACTAGCCAAGATTCTGGGTAGCCAGCCACACCACCTCCCTACCAGTCAGTCCTCTTTGGCAAACCCTACTCTGCAATGGGCCAGCCCACAGCAGGTAGTGTGGGAAAGGCAGATGCCTGCCAGCTCTATCTCCAGCCGCCCTCACCAGCCCTCGGCCCAGGTCACCTCACCTCCTGCTCCGGAAGTAGACATACTCAAAAGGCAGCGTGCAGGGCAGTAGCAGGTAGGTCAGTGCCCTCCCTGGCACCGAGCACTGGAATCGAGCCCAGAAGTCTCGCTGGCAAGCCTTTCTCAGTGCTAAAAGACAAGGAGAGGCCCATAGCCCCTTGGTACTCTCAGGCTGTCGAGCTGCCTCCCCTAGTCAGCCTGGGGTCACCCTGGAACCACCAAGCGCTAGGGTCCCAAGAGATGCAGACAGTATCCACCCTCAGCATCTCCACACTGATGGAACCATCGCCGCCAGCAGGGGTCGCCATGTACACACCCTCTCAACCCACTGAGACCCCCCCACCACCACCACCACAGAGGAGGAGAGGAAGAAGGTTCAGAGTGCCTAGTGAGAGTCTCCTCCAGGAAGAAGCAGAGCCCAGCCAGCCTTGAGGCCTGCCAGGCTCCTGTCCTGAGCTCTACCCTCCTCTCTTCCTACCAGAAGTCTGTCGTGGTGCCTTGGATAAACAACCATCCCTAGGCCTTTCTCACAGTAACAGCTTCAGAGCAGCTGTGAGCACGGCATTCATGTGGCCAGCTCCAACCCCCTTGTTCACCAGGCTAAGCAGGGTGGGAGGGACTGGTCAGGGAAAGAGGCAGAAGGCCACTCCAGACTGCTGGGAGCTCAGACTGCAGCTCGGGTTTGAGCAACAAGGTCTAAGGTTTGCAGCCAAGGGGATGACACCCAACTCCTTCTATCCCCTAGTCACAGGAAATGGGTCCCCAGCAGAACATTCTCAAAGGCAGTGAGTGGGAACCCAGGGTGTCTAAGCATTAGAATTACTCTCCCAGTCCCTATCCCAGCCAGCTGCTGTGCACAGGGGCGATAGCCACACCCCACTGATTCCAGATTCAGAAGCTGGACCTAGGGCTCAGTGCAGACTAAATCCTTCAGGAGACAAGTTAATGTTCTGTCTTTATCTCTTGCTTCCTACGTGTCCCCATTGTCTCTTCTTGGGCCTTCACTATCACCTCAACCTCTTTGGCCTCTGCCCTCCCCACTAGCTTCGCAGCACCTCCAGGGCTCCCCAGTTGTGGCTTGAATAAGAATGATCCCCAGAGGGTCATCTATTTGAATACTTGCTCCTTGTTTGGTGGAACTGTTTGGGAAGGATGAGAGGTGTGGCCTTGTTGGAGGAGGTGCGTCACTGGGGGTAAGCTTGAGATTTCAAAAGTTTCACACCAGGCCCATTGTGCTCTGTGTCTCCTACATGCAATTTGAGATGTGAGCACTTAGCTATCTCTGCCAGCATCATGGAACTGGAAGACCAATTAAACACTCTCTTTTATAAGTTGCCTTGGTCATGGCATTTTGTCACAGCAACATACAAGTAACCAAGACACCAGCTCTCTCCTCCCGCCTATCCAGTCCACCCCAAGTTCACGTCTGCTGTGTCACCCGACCACTATGCTGTAACCCCAGAGATGGACCAGCTCAGCCTCTCCAGCCCCAGGGCCTTTGCACATGTGATGTCCTCAGCCCAAACTCTCATCCTTCCATCTCTGACTGGCAGCCCCTGTTTGAAGTGTCTCTGGGATGTCACGTACCACACGTGCCTGTGATTGTCTCTAGGTACCTCACTGTGGCCTGGGCATAGACCTGGCTTTCCCAGGCACAGACAGACCTGGGCTCAATACCTCAACGGCAGACAGGAAGACCAGCTGAGTTCCTTCTCTTCTCAGAGTCTCAGTTTCCCCACCAGTGAAATAGTGCCAGGTTGTAATCAGGAGTAAAGGGTACAGAAAAAGTGTGCCCCAGCCACACTTGACGTTTAGTAGGGGCTTAGGAGATGTGAGCATTCAGGCAGGTGAGTGGTGTGAGAAAGGGCAGTACCAGCCTCCAGCTCCGGCGACAGCAGCTCGAAGTCGGCCACATCCTTGACCAGCACATTGGGGATGTCCCACCTGATAGTCAGGGTAAGCTTCTGGTCCTGGTCGTAGTCAGCACTCCTGGGCCCCTCCATGAGGGCTGGAGGCTCCTTCGATACCAGTGACCACAGCACTGGCTCCTTGGTGAGTCCTGGAGTGAGAGGGAGAAGATCTGACAGTTGGTGCAGTGGCAGCCTCCAGGAGAAATGGTGTCTAACTAGCCACACGTCTCGGTGCTCAAACCACCTCCAGGACTCAGGCTGCAGGATGGACCCCAGTGGGGCCCTGCCCTGCTGTCTAGCCTGCTCTAGAGCCCCAGAGGCGTAGCTCTGTTTTCAAACTATGTCCTACTCTCACCTGCCAGCCCTGTGAGCCTCAGCCCCTCTGCCTCAGTTTCCCTCTGTAAAGGAAACTTGAGGGCTGCTGCAGTGAGAGTTAAATGCAGTATTCTCCAGCTCTGGCCTGGAATGAGGTGCTGTAGGTTGGGGTGGAGTGCAGGGATTGAGGGTGGGTCTGGAGCCCATAGTCTGGGTTCGTCTTTCAACCTTGTCTTACAGGGTGACAGCTTCCCAGCCCTAGGGACCATGCACCTCCTGCCAGTCGACAACCCCTTAGAGTATAGCTCTCCTCCATCATCTGCCTCTGTCTTCCCCTCACAACCAGGCACTCTACAGCTTGTCCCAACCCAGCTCAGCTGTCGCCTCCAGGAAGCTCTTCCCTGCTTGCTCTCCCCATCCCAGGCCAAGAAGAAATCTTTCCCTGCCCCATCTCATTACAAAAAGAGCCTCTGCCACCCACAGCCCATCTCTATCACTCTGCCTCGGTCTTTGGAGGGTCCAGAATGGGACCCAGAAGACTCCTTTCAGTCTCTCTAGTGTGGTTTGGCCACCCACAGAGCAGGCAGGCACTGAGGTCCTAGGGTTCAAACACGGGAAAGGCGAAGTCTACCTGACACCATCCATTACTGCCCTCTGTCACCTACCCCGTCTCTCCAGGAACCTCAGAGCATCCAGATAACCTTGTCTGCAGTAGTCAGCCACCACCTGGGACACACAGAGCAGAAGAGGACAGAACTTGGGCTTCTCTAGTGACAAGCCATGGGCTGAAGACATGTCAGCACATCCCCAGCCCAGCCTGCTGCCCCAGTGACCCCCCCTCCTGCAGAGTTCAGGAACCCCAGAGACCCAGGACAGCTCAGGGAGACCCAGAGTGTGCACACGGCACAGATCTGCTCCCGACGTCCCCTTTTATCAGCCAGCTCACTCCTTATCAGGCACCTGCCTCCCTCTGAGGTCCTCCCTCTAGTAGACAGAGTGACAAAGCCTGAGTCGGGGTCACTGGGCTCTCCACCGGCTCACCACAAGCCCAGGGCAGCCCCTTTCCCTTCCCCTCCACAGAAGATGTGGCATGGAGTGAAAGTGGAACACCAAGGACAACTCTATGGAGTCATCTCTCGGCTTCCACCTATTGAGGTTGGTTCCTGGAATCAAACTCAGTCACCGGGCTTGCCTGGCAGATGCCTTTATCTGCTGAGTCATCTCGCTCTGCGTGTGTGTGTGTGTGTGTGTGTGTGTGTGTGTGTGTGTGTGTGTGTGTGTGTGTTTGTGTGTGCGCGTACACGCACGCGCGCGTGCTCAGCAATTAAAAACACTGGCTGCTCCTGAGGAGGAGAAGAGTTCAAATCCCAGCATCCATGCTGAGTGGCTCACAACTGCCTGTAACTCCAGTTCTCCAGTTCCATGGGTCCAGTGTCTTCTTCTGGCCTCTGTGGGTACTGCATTCATGCACACACACACACACACACACACACACACACACACACACACACACACACACACGCATGCACACATAAATAGAAATAATAAATCTAGAAAAAGAAATGGAAATAACCTCCTCTGCTCACAGAGTACAGGCCACAGCTGGACTCTAGCCCTCACCCAGGAAGAGGCAGAAGAGGCAGAGCCCATCTGAGCTCAGGTTTCTGCTCCAGGGCTTGTGTGAAACTGAAGCTGAGGGGAGGGGTCATGGGGCAAGGACTATGCAGGGTGACCTACCTCAGGCTTCGGGGGGAACAGGGATATGAACCCCTGAAAGAAGTTCTTGGTAGAGATCTGGAAACTGGCATTGAAGGCGGTCAGCTCATACAGACTGCCTGAATTGCTCTGGGGACAGATGTCCGCCGTTCCGTAGAAGGGAGAGACGGTGATGGTGGTGGGGGAATCGGAGAAGGGCAGGTTGTTACTCAGAGCTCCATCGATGTAGCGCTGCAAGGCAGAGAGGCAGTAGGCCACACCGTCTTCCTCACACCCTCACCATTGACTGGTGTCCATATCCCCCTCCAGCCTAGGTGCTGAGCCTCTTTAGGTGGAGCTTGGCACACAGTAGGTGCTCACGGGAGGGAGGTGGTGTCCTCGATCTTAACTCCACCTCTGGACAAACTCTTGTTCCAGCTGCTGGGAGCTCAGAGTGGGATGCACACAGGGGCCCTTCCCGAACACGCTCACCTCTCCTCTGAAGGCCGGAGGGATTGTCCCGCAATACAAAGGGAAATACAAGGAACAGATCAGAGCCTGGAAGACAAGACCATCATCCTCACTCGGTGTCCCACACCTGCTCTCGTGCACGTAGCTGCGTGCTCAAATGAAGAACACAGGAACACAGGCCTCCTTGACATCACCTTCCTCTCTCTGCAGAGGGCACTCCAGTTACCTGGAGACTACAGGTGGGATGCCCCCTAATATATAAACTAAGGCACCAGTACCAACCCTGGGTCTGGCAGGAAGGTGCCACCAATAACCTCTGTGTATCTCCCAAAGAATGTTCTCAGAGCTGATCCAAACAGATGCTCCTCTGAGGAGGACTGCCAGGCTCTCCCTCCCCACAAGAGATACCATCTCCCAATAAAAGCCCTGACAAGTCCTGCTGGGGCGGCGGGAGTGGAGAGGATGCTTCGTTTATAGATTGATCCGGTGAACCCCCCCGGTGCTGGTCTCGCTGTAATGGGGCTGTGCACGCTGTCCTGTGTCATAGGATGCTTAGCATTATCCCTTGTGTCACCTGTTAGATGCCAGCAGCATGCAGAGTGTGACAGTCGAGGATAGTTCCAGCATGGTCAACTATGCTGGGGGGCAGGGCGGGGTGGGACCGTGCAAGTATTGCAAACCTAGGGTTCCAAGTTCACAGAACACAGCCCCTCACCCGACAACCCTGAAAGACCTTCATTCCTCCGACTCTCTCGGAGAAGCAGATGCAGTCCCGGTTCTGAGGGTTTGGAATATGAGTGAGCCCATCCTTCCCACAGATGGATGCAGTTGATGACAGCTGAGATTCAATGAGTACCTTGAATGTACTGTCCAGGGGAGCACATTGGGACAGGGTCTGAAGTCCCTCCCTGGGCATCAGCCCACAGCAAGTGACACCCCTCAGGCACACTGAGAACCACACACCTGTGTTCCAACAGCTGCTGGCTCAGGTTGTCCCAGTGTCCGGTACAGGGCACCAAGATGAGGCTGGGTATATGTGGACCTCAGGGGCAGACAGAGACCAATATAGGAAGGATGGCCAGAGCTGCACGGAAGGACGCCGGGACTCTTCCCACTGGACTGAGGTCCTCCCAGCATGGAGACCCATCTCCCTTCAGAGCTTTTTCCCTATGGCCCTGCTCAGCTTTCCTGATCCGTCAAGCCAGCGCCTGTCAGATCAGAACAGACTCCATTCCTTCCCTGCCTTGGTCTCCTGATTGAGTTTCACATAGGCTCTTTCCTAACCCCTTCCTATGAGGTGTGCTTATTGGATACAAGTGTGGAGAAGGCAAGGGTTCTCATCTGCGGCCCCTCCCTGACAAATATCACAGCATACAATAGTGCCCACACATGATAGATGCCCAGTAAATGTTTGCTCTGGCAACCAGAAAGCATTTGGATGGGGGTGGATGGGGCGGGGAGGACATCTCCGGAATGAGCAACCCTAGATGACCCAACTATGGAAGTTGACCACCCCTGAGCCTGCCCCAGGGACACCTCAGGTTCCTCTCCAACCCATCTGCTAGAGAGCCTTGGACTCAGACCAGTCCTGGATACAGTCTAGCTCCTGCTGCATCCCCCAACACACACACACACACACACACACACACACACACACACACACACACACACACACACACACTGAGAGAGAGAGAGAGAGAGAGAGAGAGAGAGAGAGAGAGAGAGAGAGAGAGAGAGTCACCCACAGAAACCCCTGGGCTCACTCTGTTATTTGATGGGCCTCAGGTCATCACCCAGCATCAGCTCACCTGGATGAGTTCATCCCTAGTGGCAAAATCAGTCACTATGCAGTTCTTCCCATCAGGCCATCGGGTCATGGAGATGCCCAGCCTCTGGGAGGCCAGGATGTGGCAATTGTCTGGTAGGGTGTCCTGCAGCTGTTTCCTGATTTGCTCAATGGGGCCATAGGCCGGGTGGAAGATGCCCAGGCTCAGACGCTCCACATGCTTCACCATGCCCAAGAGATTGGAGCAGCTGTAGTCTGCAGGGTGGTGAAGGCTAAGGTCTCAGCACCTGGAACCACCGAGGGCCGCCCACACCCGCCAAAAGCCTACCTTCCTCAGGGATGCCTGAGAGTCAGAACATAAAATCTCCCGTCCTGGATATTAGTGACCTTAGGGACAGTATCTTAAATCTGAAGCCAGGACCCCATCTTTAGAGATAGAAGTGACCACAGTCCTCAGATTCAGAGGCTGGGTGTAAAGCCCTGGGGATGGGGGAGGGCATGTTGCTAGGTTCAGCTCCCTGAGGGGTCCCTGGACCTCGAGACCTCCCCCAAGCACCTGTCGACATGCCGCAGACGATAGTCATGGCGTTGAGTGCGCCTGCGGAGGAGCCATAGAAGCAACTCGCGCCCTGGAGGATGCGCGGCGCGCGCTGGCGCAGACACTGGGTGGCGCCCACGTGGTAGAGGCCCAAGAAACCAGAGCCTGCGAAGGACAAGCTCCAGCCGCCCTCTGCCTCCAGGAAGTGCATAGTATGGCTCTTGGAACCCCCAACTGCAGACACCACAGCCTGGATGTAGCGCAGGAGCTGGAAGGACCGCTCGCCGGTGCCAATGGACTGGGACCAGACAGGGATGGGGATGGAGCTCTGGGGTGGTGCAGCAGGGTGGCCCCGCCCTAGGCTGAGTCAGTTGTGGCTCTAGCAAGTGAGGGAGGGACTGGGGTGCACAGTTTCGCCCAGAATCATTACAAGCTACAAGCACCCTGGCCAGGCCCGCACGCCCACCCTGTTCCACCCTATTGCAGTAGCCTAACCTCAGGGTGTCTGCATTTCGAAAGACGAAATGGAGGCACAATCAGGAAGAGCCAAGCCTGACCCGCAGGGCCTAACTTGTGAGGCCAGGGGTCAGGGGCCAGCAAGACACGTGGGAGGCTGTAGGCCTGGGACCCGGGCTCAGCAGGGAAAGGTTGCCATAGAACAATGCGTCCAGATGCGCCAACTCCCCTCACTGCAGTCACCCAGAAGTCGCCCAGCAGGGACCAGGCTCACAAGTGCACATGTCTGAACAAGTGAGGTGAGGTGCTTACACAGCCAAGTCATCACATGGAAATCAGGCCAGGCATGCCAATGGGCGCAGGGGGCGGGGGTGGGGGGGAGGCGGGGGTGGGGGGATGAAGCATACACCAGGATGTCAAGAAGAGGAAGGCAGCAGCAGAGTGCGGGGTGGTGAGCAAAGAGGACCCCAATACAGAAATGGGATGAGTGGAACCCAGTGGGACCCACACTGGGCACCGGAGGACCTTACAAGTAGCCAATAAGGACAGATTGCACCACACCGCAGGCTGCCTGGTGCAAACATTTCCCCAAACTGGCTCTGAACTCCAGCTAGGTGGCTCATCCTGTAAACGTGTTGCCAGCCCCGACCATCCGAGTTTCCACCCCCAGGATCCAAACACAGAGGGAGAGTGCTGACTCCTGTTGGTTGTCCTGTGAGCTCCACACATGCCACACGCACCCACCCACCTCCCTACACACACACACACACACACACACACACACACACACACACACAAACAAATGTAATTTAAATGTAAACAGCACTCTGTGATGTAAAAAGAATATAAGTCACAGGTGAAATGTCCTAGAGGGCGTGCCTCTGGGGAGTCCCGGGCCATGGAAGAAGGGAATCGACCTCAACTGTATCCAGGGGCTGAGAGCAGGCTGGTGGTCCGCAGCAGGGCTAGGCAGGGTCTCCCTGCACCATCCCCACTAAAGCAGCCGGGGACCGGCAGCAGGCCTTCAGGACTCACAGAACTCCCCTTCAGGGGAAGGAGCCTCTGGGGGCGTGTTTCCAGATCCAGTGAGAGTCTGAGGATCAGGTGAGACTGGAGGGCAAAGGTCAAGGACACACCTTTGCAACTGTACACGGTCGGTCGCTGGTGACAGTGCCTGCCAACAGCCTGAAGAGGTCCCTTCCGGCTGAGGGACTCCACTCAGGTAAAGCCAGGTCCTGATTTTACCACAAAAAGTTTCAGGGCCAGACAGAACGAAGTAAACTTGGTGAGTTTAGTACATGTTGTATGTGGTGCATGTTTTGTTTTTTCTTTTTCTTTTCTTTTTTTTTTTTTTTTTTGGAGCTGAGGATCGAACCCAGGGCCTTGTGCTTGCTAGGCAAGCTCTCTACCACTGAGCTAAATCCCCAACCCCGAGTTTAGTACATGTTGAGACAGTCATGGAAGAAGAGGACAGTGTACACACAAAGCAGGAGGGTGCTTTTCCTAGACATTTACGTGTGCGTGTGCGTGTGCGTGTGCGTGTGCGTGTGCGCGTGCGCGTGCGCGTGTGCGTGTGCGTGTGCGTGTGCGTGTGCGTGTGCGTGTGCGTGTGTGTGTGTGTGTGTGTGTGTGTGTGTGTGTAGAGAGAGAAGGGGTGGGGCTGGGGATGTAGCTCAGTGGTGGAATGATCGCCCAGCATGCACCAGGCCCTGGGCTCAATCCCCATCCCTGAGGGATGGGGAAGGGGAGCCTTGATGGGAAAGATGAGGAAAGGGAAAAGAAAGGAAAGGAAAGAAAGGGGGGAGAAAGGAGAGGGCGGTGTTGAAATCATGAAGGACAGAGATTCAAATGACTAGAGAGCTAGGAGAGGTGGCGGCTGAGCACAGCCCAGATGGCCCTCCACTCTGGTCTGGTGACACCTCAGACGGACCCTCATAGATGAAAACCACCCTCAGCAGAAGTGCCGTTGCATCACCCAACTGACCAAACCTTGGTGATGGCATCTCCATTACATATCTAATGGAGGAGGCGCTAGAAATGACACCGTTGGGACGGTCAGAGAATGCACATCTGAACTGGGGTCACACCACGGTGCGGTGACAATGGTCCATCTGTGGGCTCCATCCGAGTGCTGTGACGTGGTTACGTAAGGAGCACTTTCTCAGGCCGGCGTGGTGGAGCCCTCCTGTAAACCTGACCCTTGCGAGGCTGAAGCAGGAAGATTGCCATGTGCTCCAAGGCCATGTTGAGTACCAGACAAGTCTGTGCTGGCACAGCAAGACCTGTGTCTCAAATGAACACAGACGCACGCCTTGTTCCTGACAGATGGTCTGTAGTGTTCGTGAGTGTTAAACTGACATCCAAGGCCCATTAGGGGAGAATGCAATCCACCTCTGGCCTGGATAGAGACTTAACAGTCTAAGCTACCCAAAACATGAGTTAATCCATTTGGGTCAATCAATCACCTACCTGGCTGAGGGATTCCCTCTCCCATCCCTGGAAAGCAGATTCACCTAACACTATGTTGGAGAGATTGGAGGAATAATTATTCCTTTAATGAGAAAATATATTTCCCTTCCCAGAATCCTTGTTTTTGTGTGCTACCTAGGAAGCCACCATGAGGTTCTGTGGGGTTCGATTATTTCCTTTTCTTCTTTCTTTCTCTTTCTTTTGGGCGCAGACAGAGTGTAACTATACTTTCTCTGGTATTTTGGGCTTTTTCACGCTTTCTGCGAAGTCACTTCCCTTTTGCCATGGAGCTACTTGCCCCAGCTCCGTGCCTAACTCACAAGCAGGTAGCTTTTCTCTTTGTCTTCCTCCTCCAGGCAGCCACTGAGATGTACAGCTTGCCTGCCCTGGGGTTTTACTTTTAAATTCTAATAAAATTCTCCTCATGATCCCTTTTGGCTCTCTGATAGTCTTTGAATGAGCCTCAGAACCCTGAGAGAGGACTCTCATTTCCCCAATAACATGTGGCAGCCGACATGAGACTACCCCAAATTTCTAGTCATAAGAGCAGAGGCTGAACATTCCCATGCTTGTCTCAAAGGGCTCACTGTGCTCCCAGCTCTGTCCCTGTGTCTCCATCTAGGGAGCTTTGGGGGTAGAAAAAACAGGAAAGCCTATGGCAAGGTCTGTGACACTGACCATGGTCAGCTCCCTGACCCTCTGGGCTCCAGATCCCCTCCGTATGGGTTAGGCCGCTGAACCACAGCTTTCCACACACCATGGCCCTGAGGTGCCATGTGTCAACAGCCATCATCCTTCCACCCATGGAGGAAATCCTGGGTGGCCCACAGCTGCCGTGGCTCCCAGGACATTACTGGGAAAGCTAGGTAAGGAAATTACACTCAAGGCAAGCAAGCAAAACGTGTGTACACAAAACACTCCCTCTGCCGACAGAGGGGACTCCTGTAGGGCAGACACTGTCCCAGGGCCTCCCCCCACATGTCCAGGGTCCGGCACAGAGCCTGGTGCACAGTAGGTGTCTATGAAGGACCTGAGTCCAAGAAGGCATGGAGTTAGCTATAAAGTCACCAAGGAAAACTGGAGCTGATCTCGGTGGCCATCTCCTGATGTTCCTTTGATTGAACATGCTGGAAGCTGCAGCTAGGCTGTTCGCACTGTATCAGAAACTGAGGCATGGGGTTGGAGGGTGGAGAGATGCCTCAGGGGTCAAGACACTGATGTTCTTGCAGAGGACCTGGGTTTTGTCTCCAGCACCCACAGGGTGGTTCACAAAGTATATGTGACTCCAGTTCCAGGAAGTCCAACACCCTCTTCTGGCCCCCAAGAATACCAGGCATGTATGTGTTGCACAGACTGTGGAGACCCACAAAGGTTTCCTAGGGAGATCTGAGCTTGCTTTGCCCAGGAGGACTGCATTAGAGGATTGCTTGACCACGTGTGTGGTTACCATGTGTTTGGAAGGGTCTGCACTTGGCTGTGCTAGGGGGAGGTCTTTTGCTCCACCCCTTGGCATTCCTATAAAAGGCCCTTTAGAAGATATAGGAGGGGCCAATGGATAATGATCCAGGCCCTCCTGAGGCTATCCTGTATTAATGTTTCTCTCCCCTCTATCATTCTATCTAGTATCGCTTATCCCTCTCTCCTCAAGAGTACCCCGTCATTAAATGTGGGAGCCAGTCTCCCAGCTGGGCCCCCACAACAGGCAAACATGCAGAAGAGACACCCAGGTATATAAAATATTTTTTTTTTAAAGAAAAGAAACTGAGACACAAGGCATTCTCCCACACCTGTGCACTAGTCAAGGAACCTCAAACTTCATTTTTTTTGTTTTGTTTTTCCAGACAGGATTTTTCTATACAACAACCCCAGCTGTTCTGGAACTCTCTTTGTAGAGCAGGCTGGCCTTGAACTCACAGAGCTCCCCAAATGATGGGATTAAAGGTGCGCACCACCACGCCCAGTCCTTGACTTCATTCTAACATCTGCATATGGCTGTGAACTCCTCATCAGACATTTTATAGAGGGTTGGGGGAATAAAGACCCTAAAAAGCAACTAAGTCCACCATGTTGTGGAAGGAAAAAAATGATCACCTTACCTAATGAATATGCTACCCATTTTATGAATGCTTCTAATACCCACCCCCCCCTTATCTGTCACCTCCAAATGTCTTAATCCGAACCCTGATCTCACCTACAGCAACATCAACTTCACTGGACTCCCTCACGCCCAGGTGGAAGTCCCTGCCACCAGCCTTTGCCGAATTCACTGAGGCTTCTCCCCATCCCCTTCCTCCAGCTAGCTCCTGACTCCTTCTTTCTCGGGTGCCCAGCCTGTCACCTCTCACCCAGCAGCTGCTGCCACCTCCAGCTGTCTCTG